GATTAAGCAAGCCCAGTTCAAGAACAGATCAATCATCACCTCCATTATTTCTCTATTAAAACATTAGTCCACAGTCCACATGCCATGCTTCATCACCGCATGACCCCACCTTCAACCCTATATAACTTGTTAATAAATAGCTCTAATATTTATTCACTTTGGTTTGGGGATATACATATTTAATTTCAGGAACACAAATTATATAAACAAAATTTAAAAAAATAGAAAGACCCCTCTATATATCAAATTCAATCCCGTCGTCTTGGCTTCACATATGATCATTTGCCTTCTTCTGTGTCTTGTTCTTGAAAAAAAAGAGTACTCAATAATGGCTCTGTCAATTAGGAAGCCGTATGGCTACTCAAAGATGGAGAAGGAAGACCCAGAGGAGAGAAAGCACAGAAGAGCACAGTTCCTGATCTACAAGGTGATGGAGCGAGCTGATTCTAGACGAAAAGCATCGTCGTGGTCGTTGAGGATCAGAATATCGAAGCTGAAGGTGAAGATAGGCAAGAGATTCAGAAACAAGATTCTGTCTTCTGTTTCTTCTGCTAAATCTGGCTTTCATGAACACTTCATCGCACACTTGAAGACTTGGAGGACATTATTTGCTCCATCACCAACCCAACAGCCTTATTTGTTCAAATCATCCTAGTCATGATCTGTTTGGCATTATTATTGAGTCTCATATGCGTCTGATATATATAGCAGATCTGGTGTCTGTTTTTTCTGTCATAGAATCTATATATGTTTCTTAGATCAGCAACCTAATACTAGAGGGTTTGTTATGTACTGCTTAATTCTATACAAATACAATGAACTGCATCTGAATGAAGGAATGTAAGACTGCATTATGATAAAAGAGATCGAGTGGATTTGTGGAAGTTTCTTCAATTTATGTCTAGTTGTATGAAAGATCTCTCAAAGTTATATAATCTATCAGGTAATTAGGGGAAGGTTTGTTAGAAGGATGAAGTAGTTTAGGTAATTAATTTGTTACTAATTACCTAGTTTGTTTATAACAAGAACAACCTTTTGAGAGTCATATATTTATATTTACTTTGTATTGAGGCTGGGCCTAGTAAAAAAAAAAAAGTTTTCTAAATTTGATGAAAATGGTTTCCTAAACCGGTTTAAAGGATAAATTTCTATACGTAACCAATTTAGAAAAGGCCCAAAAATAAGAAATAAAGGAAAAAAAATTCATTTTCTAGATCGATTGTGATCACAAGTTTAAAAATATATTGCCTTTCTAAACTTCTTGTAGTCACAACCAATTTAGTGATTTCTAAACTAGTTGTTGTCACAACCGGTTCCAAAATATGTGTTTTTTTTTTAATAATTTCCTTTAATTTTTCCCATCAACTCATCTCATAAGTTTGGAGTTGGTTGATCTCTCTTTAAAAATTGGCTAAGTTTTTTTTTTTTGGATAAAATATTGAATAAGCTGTTTCTTTATTAACTATCGTGAAAGAGTTTACAACAACATCACGCTAGAGTTTTATATGAGTAATTCAATTCCCCCCTTAATTTACACGCCCATGTCTCTGTTTTTTTCCCCCTTTCTCTGTCTACAATTTCATTATATATATATATATATATAGTGAGTTTAATTTAAAATTGATGCAGATATAAGTGTGTGTGTGTGTATAATTTGGATTAAATTTCAAGGCGAATGAACGTGCAACACTGGCGATACTTTGTGGGGCTGCTTTTACAGCTTTTCGTAATGTTGTGAAGCAGCATGCATGTAGCTTCGATTAGTGTTATTTTTGAAATTAGTTTTATATTATTGGCAGGTTTAATTTTTTGCATTTATGGAGTATGAGGGGATAGGATGAGACTTGAAATCTTGACACGTGACGTCTGATTAATTATGACAATTATTGAGTAGTCGGTGCAGTAATGGTTAAGTCATAAATTACACACACACATCATGCACTCTGATGGTGGATGCAATTATGCATATGAAAATAAGATTAATTATAAAACTATATGTGTGTGTGTGTGTGTGTGTTTTTTTTTTTTTACGCCATCTGGTCTGTAGCTTATCCACTTGCTACATTTTGACTTGACGTCAATCATGATTTCTCAGATATATAATAACTTCCATTTTAAATTAATGGATAATTTAATTCTTTTTTAAACATAATTACTACACTTAATTAACTTTCATAAACTGTGTAAAGTGATTATATATATATATATATATTCAGAATCGGAAGGAGTATACGTATATCACGATTTGGGAGGGCATTTAAGGGAGGAATGTGTATACCCACACACACAAGTGATCATTGTTCTGTGGAGAGTCAACTAATGTTATGACAGTTCTGAGTGGATCCAGCTACGATAATGAACTGCATGTGTGTGTCTCTCTCTCTCTCTCTCTCTGATAATTAAATAATTCACATTTTCATATCCTTGCTTGCAAGCAATTAACGGCACCCTAATAACTTAATTAGAAAATAAACCAGAGTCTAACCTAATAATTCATCTTGTATTTTCATGGACTAGTCTCATCTCAGTCACACCATATTAACGTTCTGTACATATAAAATGTTCATTTTATTTTCCCCCTGCCTTGCAAAATTAATGGATCGAGTTGCCCCTTTCAGACGAAACAGCTATAATTAATTTCTGGTTCGGATTTTTTCTGATTTCTCGGCAACTATATATATATAAAAAATAAGAGAGTTGAATCTGTGAAAATGCGAGGTTCATGCATTGCTTTACGTTGAATTAATGCAGACCACTCCGAGTCAACCCTCTCCGTCTTTTTTATTGTCTGCTTTAATGAAGCTAGCTCATTGCTCCTGAATTTTCATCCCATTACCTATAAAATATTTAATGCCTAATCATGTTTTGAGGGATATTTGATGTGTGTAATATATAAAAAAGAATATGCTGCTATACATATACTCTCCCTCTCTCTGCATATAAAGTATTTTATAAAAACTTATTTTATCTCTAAATATAAAAAATGTTATGATATTTTTTAGTACTTATACAATTTTGCCCTTGGCTTTAAAAAAGGGAAGAAATATTAATTCTATTCTTTACCTACCACTACTATGATGTTAATGGGCCTTAGGGGCAAAATTTAAAAATTATTTTGATTTAATATGATTTCAACTAAATAACAAATTTTTATTAATATGTAAGGTTATGTTAAAAATAATTTATATATAGAAACATAAAAATTGTGTGTGTGTACCAAATTGTGTGAGTGTGTGTGTACCTTCCACTTTCATTGATTTCCATGGTGATTGTGTTCAATTAGTCCCTAATTTGACACTCAAATGTTAGCTATACTACTAATGAAGAAAGAGCCAGGCCCAAATTATTAGCATCTAGAAATCATATTAGACTCCAACTAAAATCTAGGCCGGGCTTAAATATTGAGTGCAACTCTTTGAATTCTACCCAAATTCTAATGGGGGTAATTCTTGTATCAGGATATACTCTTTTAGGTGTAACTCTTTGAATTCTATTGTTCAATTATTAAAATATTGCAAAAAATTTTAAAAAGGTTTGAATAAAACTAGTTAGACAATCTAAACTTAACACTTTCTTTACTCCTCCTTTACAGGATTGGATGATTTGAAATGCAGAGAATGATGCAGGCAATGTATGTGCAAGAAAAATCTCTTGGCAGAGACTTTATGCCTACGTGTGTTGAAACATATGGAAATAAAGGTGCAAAAATATATATTCTAAAGAAGACATCAAAGATAAAGACATTGCTTTCACCAGCATTTAGGATATACTCAGAGACCAATATCTTCAAACTAAAATCAACTTCTTATTTTAAGAAGGGCAATAGAGCAATAGCTAGATGGTTTTCCTCTGAAGAAAGATAGGTTAGGTTGGATAATGATGGCTTTGTTAACATTCACAATGCAACTAGTTGTGGCGGTCCCATCCAAAACAATCAAGATAATTGGATTAAAGGCTACTTTAAATACCTCCAATATTATCCAAGTACAGTAATTGAATTTATGGGCATCTTATGAGAATTAAACATTTGCTGGGCTGAAAGTTTGGTAAAGTTAATGTCTACCCTGACTTTACAGAAGTTTTCTCATTAATTCATAATAAGTTCTCTACTATTCATCCACTTTTTTTAACTATCAATAAAATTAGAGATTTCATCATGTAAGATTGGATAATATGTTTGATCATATTTTCAAGGAGGCAAACAAATGTGCGAATTAATTATTTCATCAAGCCCCTACTGACAATTTATATATTTAGATTTTTGATATCTCGCTGTTTGATTGTTGTAATCTTTTGTATATTGACATGACTCATTTTATTAATTAGCACGGTTTATTCATGACTTTCAATTCAAAAAAAAAATTTAGGTAGAGTGGGTAAGGATCAGAAAAGTGACGAAACTTTTTTAACAAGTATTTAATACAACTTAGTTATGACTTGAATTCAAGATTACTTGTTAAATTAGCACAGCTCCCTATCAGCTAAAATACATGATGGTTGGTAGCTAAGCTTTAATCTTTAATCTTCCATGACTGTATTTTTTGGCGTCTTATCGCAGCTTCATGTTGCTTGATATCCTTTCACATTATTTTTCCTCCCCATCATTGAATGCATGCATTGATAATAAGAATAAAGGACCCATTTTGTAATGACAAAGGCTATCAATGATAAAGAATCTAATACAACCCATTGGGCTTCATGCTTTACCAAGAAAATGGACCCTCTCAATACTTTGTCTATATATATGCACCCAATTTTCTCTGTTCTTTTTTAATAATATAAGAAATAGGCTTTATTGACAATAAAGATTATATCTCTCTAGATATTGAAGATAAATGGTAAATTTTTCCAAACTAAATAATATAAGGTCACTATAGTTGCGATATTAAAATAAATATATTATTCATGCGGTCATTTCATGATCTAATTTTCAAGAGCTTTACATGGTAATAATGAATATACGGACCATATAAAAAAATTAAATGGATGGAATATCAAGAAGAAGCATTTTATGTGTCACTAATACCAGATCTCCATAGACCATCAGTGGCCATCACGAAGAATTTTTTTTTTTTCTTGTTAAGCTTTTCTTTAAAAAATTGTCTAACAACCAATAACATTAAGAAAATGAGGTTTATTTGCTGTGAGCAATAAAATTAATACAATGACAAAATAGAGGAATCTCAGTGATTATGGGAATCAACCCTGCTGCTCATGCTCACCTTCTTTCTTATCTTCCCACTTTCGAACTCGATTCTGAGCTTTAACCACCTGTAGTTTCGATCACTCATCAGTTTCACATTGGGCTGGGCCCACTCCATTGGGTGTAAAAGCCCAACATATTAATATTGGGCCGAAAGTTTCTCGCTGACTCTCCCACACAAACACAATGAGAATTGGCAGATTACCTCGTGATTCCAATCAGTGCGAGAAGTGATCCATACAAGAATGAAAGTCTGCATCAAAGTTCCACCGATCATGCCAGACCATATTCCCTGCAAGTAATTCACTTTGACCCTTCAGGCTACGTATCTTTGATGCAATAACAACTCTAATTCTCCTAAGATCTAGATGGAATATTATAATCCAGTAACATCTTTTTTTTAAAAAAAGACTTCAACATCAATAAAAATGAACCTCTTATAGCTAAATTATAATTTATACAAGAATTAATATTCGAATCTTCAAACACTGACTTAAGTTATCAGAACTTCTAACACTTACATCAACTTTAATTGGTATCCCAACAGCTGAGCTTTATAGTTATCATCAGTATAAGTTGGTGGAAACATACATATGTTGATTGTTGGGGAGAAAATTATAAGACAAGAAATTTACAAATAAAAAGGTATAAAAAGAACAACAGGAGAGGAATACCTTAATGCCAAGGTTGAACTTGAAGCCCAAAAGACAACCGAGGGGAACCCCAACCACATAATAACACCCCACGTTTACATAAGCCACCACGACTTGCCATCCACACCCAACAGCCACCCCTTCACCAACCAAAAAAACAACATTCTCTGGGTCACCAATATATGATGATAATAAATATAATAGTTAATTATTTGAGGATGGAGGAAGAAGTAATTCTCAGGAATGGAAAGTGATCGTTTGAATAGAGAGAAAATAAATGGGCAAAAAGCACCATATCTTAACTCAAAATTTCAAAATTTAAATTTCATAATCATTTAACTTTATTATTTTATTTGTTATTATATCCAGTTTTATATTATGTGAGAGTTTAAGTGGACATATATATACCCATAAAAGCTAGCATAAATAAAGTGTTGGAATACTTATAAATATTTATGAATTTGTATTAATTAATAAGCCCATATATATGAATCTTTATAATCTTGTGTGGATCATAATAGGTAAACCATACAAGTGAATTTAATAGGCAAAGGCTCAACCTATAATCTTGTAATCGGTAGTTATTCTCTATTTCTTAACTAATTGAGTCAAGGATAATGTGAGATTAAATAATTAATTAATTTATTAAAACGGTTATTGATTTAGTTCATATAAGTCGATCGGTCAATAATTAAAACACACGATACGATCACCATTATCTCCAAGCTTTCTACAAATTATGAGGGTTTAGTGAGTTGTGAGTCTACCTATACTTGACATATTTATGATCAGTCATAGATTTTTCAAGTACACAAGTTACTTTACTTAAATTTTATCTGATTTATATGAGTTGAGGTAATAAAGTTAACATAAAGTAAGAAAGGAGGGCGGGAGGGAGGAGAGTTACCGGACAAAACAGGTTGAATGCCATTGAGGATGAGGGTGACGGCCAAAAAAGGGCAGAGGTCAGAGACGGCGTTGGCCACGGTTTGGCCTTCGGTGAAGACGTAGCTGATGACATGGCGAAGAGCAAGCACGACAATGGCTTCGATCACAGCTACCACGAACGACACTACGTTCACAATCACCACCGAGAATTTGGCTGCTCTTGGATTCCCAGCCCCTAATTCATTGCTCACCCTCACACTGTTACGCACCCACACACACACGTTCACCGTCATTCTCAATCATCAACTCTTCTTCTTTAAGGATCTAATTCATTGCTCAAACATGACTCCTTATTCACTCACCTTGCTGCTGCGTTAAATCCAATTCCAATCTGAAGCAACAGTCCTGCTATTGCCATGCTGCCACCACAAAACCCACATTACGTCACCCCCACCCTTTTAACTCTCATATTTAGATTGTCAGAATATTTCATAAGGGAAAAATTAGCAACACAAACATGTAAATTTCTCACCTTTTCCCCTGAAACTCATTTCTACATTCCAAAACGCAGCCAAGGGGATAACATCTAAATAATATTACTCCCTCTAAGTAACATTCTTTTGTGTTTTGATTCAGCTAATCTAAATAATGTTACTCATTTCTACACATAATTCTTACACAACGTATTTAAATACTATAAAGTTTATTGAAAACTTAATAAAAGAAAATGACAAATAATACATCTTGTGGGATTTCATAGTAATTCTTCCTCCAATTCATGATGATCCACGATTAAATAAATTACACGTTTGTCGTGTAGTGGTTGGCATTACATATTAATTTATCAGTCTTCGAATGATTAGAGATACAACATGCTGCACTTGGAGCATTGCCCCAGTGGCAAAGTGATCCCCTGTACAAAGGGTGGTCGTAGGTTCAATTTCCCACAACACTAGCTTCATCTCCTCTCAATTCACACACACACACACACACACACACACACACAGATACATTATTCTTATTGTTGGTGCAACATCAAATTGTTCCCTTTATTTAAAATTATATAGCATTTTTTTTAGAGATATCATGTTTAAAAATATAAAGTATTTTGGTGTTTTCAATAAATAATTAATGAGGTTTTTTTTTCAAAAATATTATTAATAAATATTTGAAATGAATGAAATTTTCATATTTATTGTGATATAATTTTTCTATTAAATAAGGACCAACATGAAAATGATAATAGTATGTAAATTTTAACCATGTTAACTGTATTTTTTTCAGAGTCAAAATTAATTAAAAATGTCTTAAAATTTTAAATGGAGAGACGGAGAGAGTAATAAGCTGCCTCATCCTCTCATGTTTTTGTCTTCATGTCGTAAATAATACTAAAACTTTTCTATACATGCCAATGGAAGGCATCCAACAACCTTAAATGTGAAGAAACTTCGTGTAAACAAAAACCGAAAGGCACTTTTATTTTTTAAAAAAAAATGTCTTGAGGCTGATTGATAATCAAAAAGCTTACCAAACAGAGATAGCATCGAGGGCAAGCTCAGAATCATCAAGCAACCCAGTGATCAGCACAAGCACCTGAAAATACCAAATCTCAAGACACAGCATGACGGCGGAAGCCGCCGATAGTTTCGTAAAAGCCCAGAGCCCATGAAAGGCCTGAAAGCTAAGCCCAGTCCACGTGTGCCTGCACTTCCGAGACATTACAATGTACACAAATTGGGCCACCACTATGATCCACCAAGACAGGCTCAGCACCAAAGAGGCCCCAATTAGGCCCAAACCCAATTGGAAGACCACCACCCAACTGAGCAACATGTGAAGCACGAGCGTGGCCGCGGAAATGTAAGTGCTAGGAGCTACAATGCTCTGCGCCTGGAGGAACTTCTGTATGGGGAAGTTCACGGCGTAAGCGTAGATCTGCGGGATCAGGCCGTACACGAAGATCGCAGCCGCCGACGATAGAGCCGCCGATTCACCGATCAAGAGCAGGATTTGCTTGCAGAATATGTAAACCAAGGTTATTGGAATCCCGGTGAGGGTCAGCACTACGGTTGCTCTTTGCATGTACACACCTAGCATTTCATACTTGTGTGCACCGTAGGCTTGCCCACACAGTGTCTCTACCGCACTTCCCATACCTAACTGCAAAATAATTTAGAAAATTTTGTCATTTTAGCATACGCCACACAGTTCGTATCTATCTATAATATATATATCAACAAACATGTAACTCAACTGGTGGAAAGAAAATGCTTATATTTTAAATTGAAGTTAAAAAGAGTAATTATTATTGAAGCGATATGAGTACGATACCAAAAGGAGTCTTAAATGAACAGAGAATTAATATTGAGTGACATACCATGACGCCGTAAGCGAAGAGCTGAACGCCACTGTTGCCAAGGTTGGCAGCGGCGTACTCGAGGTTGCCGAGGTGGCCGGCGAAAGCTCTTGTGGCGCTGGACATGAGGTTGTTGATGAGGTAGACGAAGATGGCCGGACCTGCGAGGCGGGAGAGAAGGTTCAGCTCAATCCACGTCGCTGATCGGAACTTCTTGAACCACGTCAGGTTGGTGTCTGAGAGAACATTTTCCAGTCTGGAATCAACTACGTGAGCTCCACCACCGTTAGGCTCTGCCTGTTCCTCCTGAACCGCCGTCGGCGACGAAGTTGAGTTCAAGATCGGCCGTCGGAGGTCGTCTTCTGCGGACTCCATGTAAGGCGTTATAGCTGGAGGCGGAGGCAAGTGACGCTGCTTTTGTGAGTTGCATAGGAATGAAATTAGGGAGCTATGGGCTATAAACTGCTGCAAAGTGACCGATCAAACTGCTCTTTTTCGGTCCAAAATATCTAAATGACATGAAGAAAGCATTTAATGTAGGAAAGGTAAAGCGAAAATGTCATTTAAAACCCTTGCCTACATTTGACGATAAAGAAGGGTTCTTAAACGCTGTAAAATTCGCTTCAGATCAAGGGTACTGAAATAAAATTAAAACACAAAGTAAAATTATCTTATTATTCCTCATTCTCTTTGATTCTTTTCAAAAATTATTCATTTCTCTATTAAAAAATTATTCATTAACCTACAAAAAGTGTTTGTATTATTATTGAATCTTAATTTTATTTCAAATGTTTTAAGTATGTTTTAAATATGATAAAATAAGTTGTCTATTTCCTTAAGTAAAGTTGTTCATTTCCTTACATTAAATGGTTCATTGATTTATAAGAATTGTTTGTATTATTATTGAATAATTTTATATAGGAAAATAAATAATTTTATTAAAAAATTAGAGGGAATGAGGGACAATGATTCAATGAGGTAATTTTATTTTGCATTTTCATTTCACTTTAATTTCCCTAGTTTGAAGTAAATTTTTTCTAAGGGACATTTTTTTTATTAAGTGTAATCAAAGGGTCACAAATGAAATTTTCCCAAAGTTGAATTCGTTACTTTTATTGATTTTGGATTCTTTGATTAAAAAAAAATTGGCGAAAAGTTTATTTTAAACCCCTAGTCCACAGCCCCTTAAGTTCTTAAATTCATTAATAGAAAAGGCTCCTTAAATTCTTAAAATTCATTAATAAAAAAGGCCCCTTAAATTCTTAAAATTCATTTCAGACCAAGAAAACCGAAGTGAAATTAAAAATATAGAATAAAATTGTCTCATTGCCTCTCATTCCCTCTTATTTTCTATTGAAATTGTTTATTTTTTTATATAAAGTTATTCGTTAATCTATAAGAATGGTTGCAAAAAATTTATGTATTTCAAAAATAAAAATAAAAACTTATATAAGTTATAAGATGCTTAATTAGAATATCAAATGACGTTTCTTTTTTATCACTATAATTTTAATAGCTTTCTTGCACCTAAGCCAACCCCAATTGAATGTGGATGGCACAAAATATAAACATTATATTTCTTTGGTTAATGAGGATATAAATTGAAACATTGATATATTTTTTAACAAACCAAGTAATTTGACAGCTTTTCAAAAAGGGACAAAAATGTATTCATTCTAATCCTATTTGTTTAATTTTATTTATAAAATACTTTATTGATTTTTTATATAAACTTTTTTCGTCTACCTCTCATTAGATGTTAATATAAAAAACATGTTATCAATATACACACACTAATATTAGTAAAAGTAAACATTTATTAAATTTTTAAAATGATTTATAAAAAGAACAAGAAAAATATAATATTTAATAGGTCTAATAAAAAAATTGGTAAAAGGTGAAATCAAATTTTAATAAAACCATAGACATGATGCTAATAATCGTGGGATAAAAACTAGACTAACTAATTAAATCAATAATATGATAAATCGACTACTTATCCAATTCAATTAAAAAGTTAAACTAGATTTGAATTGACTTAGAGTAATCCAAATTGACTTGAAATAAACCATAATAACCCGTTCAACCTAAATAGGTTACACTCCCCCTCCCCATACTTGTGCAAGCTAGTTTCTACTACCTAGCCTTGCCTTAGTTATTTCCCATGAAAAAATAGAGAATAACAAATAGGTTCTAAAGTGATCAATTAATTTAAATTAAGTTTTAAATATTAAGCTAAAGGAATTTACAAGTTTGGTTTTTGATTTTATAATTTTGTTATGATAAATTTATAACTTATATTTTAAATTTTAAAAGGAAAACAAATTCATATATTATTCAACTATGTTAAAATTTAAAAAAATAAGTTATAAATTCATTACAATGAAATTGTAAAATTGAAAGTTGAACTTATAAATTCATGAAATTTGATACTTGAAATTTAATTTAAATTAATTAATCCTTTTAAAACATATCTACCATTCTCCCTTAAAAAAAAAACAGAGAGAAATGGGACTGTTGAAACTATTTTTATTTTATTATTCTGAAAACTGATGTTTTGTAGAACATGTTTTGAGAACAAAAAAATAATAAAAATAGATTTTTTTTATTCTCCCTTATTCTCCAAAACAATAATCACAGAACATTTAAAAGTTGTTTCATTTTTTTGTTCTTCAAAATAATATTTTATTTTTTATTTTTTAAAATATTTTTTAAAAATATATTATCAAACAGATTTTTTTATTTAGAACAGGTTTCCAAACATGTTCGAGATGACCAACAAGGGACTGTTGCTGTTAGCTTTATCTTTTATTCAAGCAAGCGTTTGGTGCATAATTATACTCACATCTAGGCACACACATTTCTTGTTATCACTCACCATACACATTTTAACTTGTATTAATTAAATTTATATAATTGTAAAACTTTTTTGTTACCATAATCTTTTTATCATGTGATTTTTTTAATATTATATTGTTTATTCTTAAAATTTTTATTTGAAATACTCTATGTAAAATTAAAAATAAATTAATTTACATAAAATCGGTTTGAACCCAGTTTAACCCCCCTGTTAGACAATTGATCATTAACTCAATATTTCAACCGGTTTAATAATTGGCATAGTTTTCAGTACATTCCTAACAATGCTCTCTGTAACATCCTGATTTTTATATAATAAAGAAATTGCAGAATTTAGGTTTTGAGGAAAAAAAATGATAATAATAGGAATTTATATTATTTGAGGTTATTTAGAAATGATATTATGGTTAGGTATTTAATTATGAATTTAAAAATTTAAATTCAAAACCACATAAGTAATATTTAGTTAAGATATAATACATAAATAATTTTTTTTATGTATGTGTTGAAAAAAAAAAGAGAAGGTAGAAGGAACAAAAAAAAAGGGGTGGAAGGTTGTTGTTTCTAAGTCCCACATTGGTTAGATGAGGGAAGAGAGAGGTGCCTTCATGTATAAAAAGGAGGGGGTGTGTGCATTAGGAAGCATGAGAGGCTAAGATGCAATTTAGAGAAAATTGCAACTTTTGGCCCAAAGGTTTGAATAATTAAATTCAAACCTATAGTTTTTTTTAATATAATTTTGGGACTCACAATCCCATTTTTATATTATTTTTCTCTCTTCCTCTCACGTTGCTCGGCGTTTTCTCGCAAGGGGGGATTATTTTCTTTTTCTTCAGGTATGTTCTAACTTTCCTGTTTAGATTAGCATTTAAAAATTTATTTAATTACAAAATTAATTTTATAGTTATTTTCTAAATAATATTAGCTTTCTAGTGATATGATTATTTTGTAGGATAGAGTAAATATTTTGATTAGGATTTTTCTATAGGATAGTTAATCTGATGATATGATGGATTAAAAATATAGGTTAAAATTCTTGGGATATAATAAATATTATAGAATATTTTCTTGAGGTTGAAACTCATGTTTAAGAATTTTTGAGTTAAAATCTAGATCTATATGGTTGAATTTATGTGGAATCTGAGACGTAGGGATAAACCTATGATTATTAAATATTTATTTAAGTATGAATAGGTATTTTTGAGGTTATAGAAAGGTGATTTGAGGCTTCAGGATAATTCTAAAATTTTTAATTTATTTTTGGATGAATTTTTAGAATGTAGAAGGATGAAATTGTGATACTAGAAGTGAATTGAGGATAAAAAAAATAGTTCATTAGGGTACGAGAATTTTAGAAAAGAATTTGGGAAGTTAAATGAGGCATAAATCTTAAATTAGTGTTAATATGGACTATAGATTTAAGACTTTCTAACTCTTTAAATTAGAGTTATTTATTTTAATGTAAAATTAATATATAGTATTGTGAAATAATTATGTAGATTATATTGACAAAGATAGTGGTGAAAAAGGAGTTGTGAAGGGGAACTTGTTATTCAAGACACAAGGTAACCATTATTAATGTGTTGTGATGAGTGTGTTTGTGAATGGTTATGTGTTGTTTTGTTGTTTGGAAAAATTATGAATTATTGAAAATAAATACTGTATATACTTGTTTGAAATTATTGCCAAGTGGGTTAAAAATTTATTTTTTTTATCATGATGAGATATTATTGTTCGGATATATTCCTGTTTGGATATTTGAATGATGCATGACTTGTCAGGGTATTTTAATGTATGGTGTTAATGGGAATTTCTGTTCGGTTAATTATTACCACGTGGTAAGCCCTCATTGGACCCAATGAGTGGCGTGTCGCTTGGTCCAACTCACCTTTGGCCGGGTGATTTGGCGTCCGAGCATGGTGAAAGGAGGAGATAAGGTGCAGTCATGCAATTAAATACTTGTTCGGTTTGTTTGAAAATATTGCTTGGTTAAATGTTTTGTGTGCCCACTTAGCAATCGCATGATTAGTTACATCCGCATGCATCATTACATATTAATTTTTGGTTACTGGGACTTTTAAGTCTCATTCCCCGTGGTTAATATTTTTACAGGAGCGAATCCGGCCGAGAAAGCACCAGAGGTGTAATTATGGTGTATGAGACACCATCTTTTACGTTGCCTCTTATTTTGGATTATACAATGTATCTTGTGCCAACTTAGGACATATCTTGTCTATGGAGCATGTAAACTCTAATCCTTTTTATTAAATGCATTTATATGTCCAAGAGGATTATGTCTGTCCCTTTTGATTCATGACCTAATTTGAATAACATGCTATGAGGATCATGTCTGTCCCTCATGGTTCTAATTGCTTTTTGAGATATTTTAAGACCTGTGGTATATTGTCTTGGATGTATCATGGTAGAAATTTTTCTACCATGATAAGGGTATGATAAGGGTTCAATGAAAAAAAATGATTTGTTGAATTAATAATTTACGAAAAATCGGTTTGTAAATTTGAGGGTGTTACATATTGGTATCAGAGCATATAGTCGGTTGGCAATATACATTGTTATGGTGCTTCTCATTGTATGGCCATGATATAGCTAGGCTAATTTTATTATTTATATCTTGTATCCTTTAGGAGGGGAGAGAAAATGCCTGTTACTCGTGGTAACTCAGGATTCCAACATGAGCACCTGCCACCGCCACTGCCAAATGAGGAGCCTGACTTGGCGGAATTAAGAATGCTTGTAAAAATATTAACAGACAAGGTTCAAGGATACGAACAAGAGTTGACGGAGCTAAAAGGCAAAAGGTAACTGAAAATGGAGATAGGGCTCATGTTGAGAGTCATGTGGGGGAAGGCAGTTCCTCACATCCTGCCACTCTGAGAGATCATGAGTCTAGAAGGAAAGAAATTAGGCAGGAGGAACAGAGAGCCCCACCGACCATTACTGATGTGTGGGAAACTGTTAGGAAGTTTAACCCTCCTACGTTTGATGGTAACCTTAAACCATCCGTGGTAGAGGAATGGGTGAAGAGACTCGAATCCATCTTTCGAGTAGTCACATGCACCAGCAATCAAAAAGTACAAGTAGCATTAGTGCTCCTAGTGAAAGGAGCAAGAGATTGGTGGGAGACAGCAGGGCCCAGGGATGATTCTACACTCACCTGGGAGGAATTCAAGGAAAAATTATTCAGGCATTACTTTCCATCAGAGTTAAGGTCTGAGAAGGAAGCGGAATTCCATGCCTTTAAGCAAGGGAACCTCGATGAGGACACATTCATTGCTAAGTTTCAGGAGTTATCTAGATACTCCACGTACCTGCAGTATAGGGATGATTCCGAATGGAAGGCTAAGCGCTTATTGGAGAAGGCTAGACCAGAATTGAGGGAACAATTGGCTCATCTAGATATCCGAGATTATGATGAAATGTGCATAAAACTACAAGTAGTAGCTCGCAGTAAGAAGGAGGTCGAGAGAGAGAAGAGGGTTATTCATATAGTAGACCCCCAACCTACCCTCGACCCACCGGAGGCATTATGAAGAAAAACCATCAGGGTTCGAGTAGCTCATGGAACCAAGGAAGGCAGAAGGGTCCATTTCAAAGGGGCCAAGGACAGAGGAGCTATCATAGTAGTTATCACGGGTCACAGAGGAGCCCAACAGTATCTACCCCTGCCCCGAGTACAGCGAGCTCTCAACAGTGCACTAAATGCGGGCGTCGTCATTTCGGACAGTGTTGGGTCTGTTACATTTGTGGGAAACCCGGTCACATTGCAAAGTTTTGTGGGGACAACCAGGGCTCAAATATGAAGAACCCTTCCCAACATCCTACTGTCTCTGGCCGTGTGTTTGCTCTTACTCAGGACACCATGAACTCCCCAGATGCCATTAGAGGTAACATCAAAATCCTTCATCATGATATTGTTGCACTATTTGATTCGGGTGCTACACACTCTTTTATTTCTGAAACTTGTGTAAAGAACCTTGATTTGCCTGTGTGTATTTTACCTTTTGATATGAATGTGTCTACTCCTGCGGGAGAATCTGTAAGGACTGCTAAGGCATGCCTTAACCTAGTAGTCGAGTTTAAAAATAGGAAAACAACTATGGACTTAATTATCCTACCACTGAGAGGTATGGATGTAATTGTGGGAATGAATTGGATGGCTGCAAATGGTGCTATCCTAGATTGTAGAGAGAGGAGTGTGTCTTTATCTTCTTTGTCGGTGACCCCAGTCGAGACTCAAGATCATGTTTTCTTGTCGGCGGCGCAAGTTGATAGATGTATGAAGAAGGGTTGCCAGGCCTACATGGTTTTCTTCTCTATCCAAGCTGAGATTGATGAAGGCGTGAAGAATATCCCAATTGTCAAAGAATTTGCGGATGTATTTCCAGACGAAGTCTCCGGTTTACCCCCAAAGCGCGAGGTAGAGTTCTCAATTGAATTGGTACCCGGTACAGGGCCAATTTCTAAGGCTCCTTATCGGATGTCCCCTTCAGAGTTAGCGGAACTGAAAAAGCAAATTGAAGAGCTACTTGAGAAGGGTTTCATCAGACCGAGTGTTTCACCTTGGGGATCTCCAGTCCTTTTTGTAAAGAAGAAGGACGGAAGCCTCCGATTGTGCATTGATTATAGACAATTGAACAAAGTAACCATCAAGAACAAATATCCACTTCCGAGAATCGATGATTTGCTGGATCAGCTTGTGGGATCCGCAGTTTTCTCAAAGATTGACTTAAGGTCAGGGTACCACCAATTGAGAGTGAGAGCAGAGGATATACCTAAGACAGCATTTCGGACGAGATATGGGCATTATGAATTCATGGTGATGCCGTTTGGACTTACGAATGCTCCTGCGGTATTCATGGATTACATGAATAGGATCTTTCGACCCTATTTAGATAAGTTTGTAGTAGTGTTTATTGATGACATTCTTATTTATTCAAAGGATGAGGAGGCTCATGGTGAACATTTAAGAATCGTCTTGCAAGTTTTGAGGGAACATAAGCTTTATGCCAAATTAAACAAGTGTGAATTTTGGCTCCAAGAAGTAAAGTTTTTGGGCCATGTTGTGTCCAGAGACGGAGTTGCGGTGGATCCTAGCAAGATTGATGCAGTGATGAAGTGGGAACAGCCAAAATCTGTTACAGAGATACGAAGCTTTTTAGGTTTAGCAGGTTATTATCGTCGCTTTATTAAGGGATTTTCGCAAATTGCGATGCCCTTAACTAAGCTGACTAAGAAGGATGCCCCATTTATTTGGACTGACAAATGTGAAGCTGCTTTCCAAGAATTGAAAAAGAGGTTAACCACTACTCCAGTATTGACTATTCCTAACCCTGTGGTGCCGTACACTCTGTACACTGATGCTTCTTTAAAGGGTTTAGGATGTGTTTTGATGCAAAATGACCGAGTGGTTGCCTATTCCTCCAGACAGTTGAGACCACACGAGGAAAATTACCCTACTCATGATTTGGAGTTAGCTGCAGTTGTGTTTGCTCTGAAGATATGGAGACACTACTTGTATGGATCTAAGTTTCAAATCTTCAGTGACCATAAGAGCCTGAAGTATTTATTTGATCAAAAAGAGCTTAATATGAGGCAGCGACGATGGATGGAATTTCTAAAGGATTATGACTTTGAATTACATTACCATCCGGGTAAGGCTAACGTGGTAGCTGATGCCTTAAGTAGAAAGACTATTCATGCTGCACATTTGATGGTTCATGAATATCATTTATGGAACAGTTTTCATGATGTTCCAGTAGATGTGATTGAACATCAAATGGCCGCACTCCAGGTAGCAGACTTTGAGAGCAAATTCTGGGAAGATCTCAGAGTCTCACAGCAGAGTGATGACTACTTAAGGAATATAAGGAAGGAGATAGTGGTAGGTAAGGCCCCAAATTTTACCATCTCTGAGGACACAGTGATGAAGTATAAAGGTAGAGTTTGTGTACCTAATGATCCAAGATTGAGGAATATCCTTTTAGAAGAAGCTCATAGGAGCAAATATACAATTCATCCCGGTATAACTAAAATGTACCATGATTTGAAGCGAGGTTGGTGGTGGCCAGGAATGAAGAAAGATGTAACTGAATTTGTTTCTAGATGTTTAACGTGTCAGAAGATAAAGATAGAACATCAGAAGCCAGCTGGAACACTGCAACCGTTAGATATTCCAAAGTGGAAATGGGATGATATTTCTATGGATTTCATCACTGGACTGCCAAGAACACCCTCGAGTAAGGATGCTATTTGGGTGATAGTAGACCGACTCACCAAATCAGCTCACTTTTTGGCGATCAAGTTTACCTCTACATTAGAGAAATTTGCTGAGATATACATTAAGGAGATAGTTAGACTTCATGGTATACCCTCTAGAATTGTGTCAGATCGTGACCCAAGGTTCACTTCAAACTTTTGGGGTGCGCTACAGAAGGCTATGGGTACCAGACTGAGTTTTAGCACCGCATACCACCCCCAAACAGATGGACAAACAGAGAGGACGATCCAGACTTTGGAGGACATGTTGAGAGCTTGTGCCATTGAACTACCAGGTAGTTGGGATAATCATTTGCCATTAGCTGAATTTGCTTATAATAACAGCTATCATTCTAGTATTGGGATGGCGCCTTATGAGGCCTTGTATGGAAGGAAGTGTAGATCGCCTTTGTGTTGGACAGAATTAAGTGAGAGGAGTATCATTGGTCCAGAAATTGTAGAGCAGACCACCCAGAAGATTGCAATGATTAAGCAAAAATTGCTAACCACTCAGAGCCGACAGAAGAGCTATGCTGATAAGAGGAGACGGCCGTTAGAGTTTGAAGTAGGAGATCATGTATTTTTGAAGGTTTCTCCAGTGACAGGCATTGGTAGATCCATTAAGGCAAAGAAGTTGACACCTAGATTTATGGGCCCGTATGAGATCTTGGAGCGAATTGGATCTGCTGCATATAGAGTTGCATTGCCTCCACAGATTGCAGGTATCCATAATGTGTTTCACGTATCACAGTTGAAGAAGTACAACCCGGATCCCTCCCATGTTATTGAACCTGAAGAAGTAGAATTGAGGGAGAATTTGACCTTTAGATCCGAACCGGAGCGAATTGAGGACTTTAAGGACAAACAACTGCGCAATAAGACCATCCGACTCGTGAAGGTGATTTGGAAGGGTGGAGCCCTAGGTGATGCTACTTGGGAAACCGAGGAGAGTATGAGGCGAGATTATCCACATTTATTTGCTTAGGTACATAGTTTCTAAGCTTATCTATTAAATTTTGAGGACAAAATTTCTAAAAGGAGGGGAGAATTGTAACATCCTGATTTTTATATAATAAAGAAATTGTGGAATTTAGGTTTTGAGGAAA